TCAGAATTTTATTTTAATAATCAAATTAAATTATTAAACAAGAGAAATGAATTAATGAGTAAATGCAGACATTTTAATAAATATTTACTTTGCAAATTACATACTAATGTAATAAATACAACAGAAATTAATATTAATTAACTAATAATATAACACAATACCTATATATATATATATGTAAAAAAAAATCAAAGATATACATACAAACAAAAGTAACAATGACAAATAGAAATTATGAAATAAATTTCAATAATCAAATTAAATTATTAAACAAGAGAAATGAATTAATGAGTGAATGCAGACATTTTAATAAATATTTACTTTGCAACTTACATATTAATGTAATAAATACAACAGAAATTAATATTAATTAACTAATAATATAATATATTACAATACATATATAGATGTAAAAAATATCAATGATATACATACAAACAAAAGTAACAATGACAAATAGAAATTATGAAATATACAATTGAAAAACAATTACATTTATGAAGCAGACTATGTAAAACATGAATATGAATGTGTCCATAACAGAGTTTAATAAAAGATGCAAATATGAAAAAAAAACGAATATTCATTACAACTGAAAATGTTTAATATATGGTTTAACCCTTGAAAAATGAACATATTACCAAGAAACTGCAGAGTTGGGGACAATTACAGTTAATTTTTTGTATATACATATATATATATATATATATATATATATATATATATATATATATATATCTGTGTGGTACTTTGTAGAATGTGCTCAATATCTTAAACAAGGAGACCGTCTAGAAGAGTTGCAGGTCATTCTGAAATCGTCTGGACTCCGTGATTGAAGCCAATGGTGATTTTATTGAATAAATTTACTCTTTAATATTTCAAGATATTTTTGTGCAATTTTGGTTTATATCTCTTAAAAAGAGACGTCAGTCTTATTTTCATTTTTGCATAATTTTGATAACATTTTATCCATGGCACACCATATATATATATATATATATATACATGTATTAGGTACCTCCAAAGATTTTCTGAAAAAAAGCATACCATCATGAAAAAAGGTCACCAACTTGATAAAAACAAAGTTTCATCATCAAAATATTTATCTTATTAAGAGGAAAAACCAAAGTATTTTTTGGTAATTATATTAAATTTTTTAATCCTGTTCAAATTTTGGTTAAAAAGGTGTACTTTTAGCATTAAAAACACGTACTGAAATTCTTGCAAAAATCAAATAATTGTTGCATTTTAATGATATTTTCAGGACATTCACAAATGAATAAAAAATTTTTAAAGAAAATCTTGGTATATATTTTTTTTTACATTTTTTACCCTACTTACTTAATATAAAATTTTGGGAAATTAAAATTCCAGTTTCTTAATATTTATATTAGTTAAAAGCAAAATTCCTTGGAGAATTGAAATCATCAATTTGTTTTTGCCAAACAGAAACAACATTTACCAGAAATTTGCTCTGAATCATTAAATAAAAACGTAATAAAACTATGACATTATTTAATCAGAAAAGCTTTTAATTGCTTTTATGAATAAGTTTTATTAAGGACACTATTGTCTTAAGAAAATTTTTTCTGGAGGCCATGGTTGAAGCCAATGGCAATTTTATTAAATAAATTTACTCTTTAATATTTCAAGATATTTTTGTGTAATTATATATCTGTTAAAAGGAGATGCCAATGTTATTTTCATTTTTGTGTAATTTAGATGATAATTTATCCATCATAAACTGTATAAATTTTCATCTAAATTATGCAAAAATGAAAATAATACTGACATCTCAACAATGGCCTACAAATGACTTCAGAATCTCTTGCAGCTTTTCAGGATGGCCTCCTTATTTAAGCTGATGAATGCTGTCATAATCTTTTCCTTTACATATAATAATCAAGGGTGTTGCAGTTTGAGGAGTTAGGTGGATAGATGTAAGGAGTGAGATATGGTTGCAGCACTAAAGGCACTTAATGTAGGACTCTGTGTTGAGTTTGAGTCTCTAGGAGAAGATGAATGGAGGTATAACATCTGTTATCTATTGGTAATCACTCTAAACACCTTTCTATTCACCATAAGACTCAACTAACTCTTTCTTGATCCTCTGTTCTAAGATTGACATCCAAACATTCTGAATTGTTTGTATTGGAGTTTCTGGCACAAATGCCAAGCAGTGCAGCATGTAGTTTCCAAATTTATGGTGAAGTGAATTGTGTCATGGTGCTATTTTTCTCACAGGTGGTGCCTCACTGACCTTACTGTACTGTGAAGTCAAAGAAAACAAAACACATATATGAAATTAAATAATATAAAATGGCAACAATTTACCAATCTCACAATGTATATGTTGGCAGAAATGCCAAGCAGTGCAGCATGTAGTTTTCTCTCTGACCCCCCCTCTCTCGATATATATATATATATATATATATATATATGTTATCAAACTCTCTATATATGTTGCCAAACTCTCTATATATAAAATCATAAACTCTTAAACTCTTTCTGTCTCTCTCTATATATATATATATATATATAATCATAAATTCTCCCAATCTCTTTATATATATATATATATAATCATAAACACTCTCTCATATATATATATATATATATATATATATATATATATATATATATATATATATATATATTTATATAATATATATATATATATATATATATATATATATATATATATATATATTTATATAATCGTAAACACTCTCATATATATATATATATATATATATATATATGATTGGTTGATCAGAGTACAACCCACAAACCTTATAACACTTCTTTTCTTTTTTCATAATAAAAGGTTGCATTTTGATTTTAAATCTAAATAAATTGTTCACTAGCCAGTAATTTACAATGGCCTGATGAGATAGATGCATTGATACACATCGAAACACAACTGCAATTGTCTAGCGATTTTGACATGTTTTCGATCTAATATCCTAAAATAAATAATATTGCTCTACTTTGAATTGAGCTTTCTTTTAAATTAAACGTTATGAACATTGGAATTGTATTCTATTTGTACTCATTTTACCTAGAGATATATATATATATATATATATTTTTTTTTTTTTTAATGTTTTACTATTTTACAAGGAAGTTGATTTTTAAAGCTTAGCTACCTGGAATTAGTGTTGGTAGCTGACTCTTTTGAGGGTATAGGGTAGGTGTTTTGCCTGTGCTTTACAATTCCATCATAACCAGATGATGAAGAAACATTTTTTTTTTGGAGATGAAGTTTCAGAAGTTAATATCACATATTTTTTTTTAGACTTTCATCTTTGCCCATCGATAAGCACCTCATCCTGCTTTGCATTTAAAGAAAATCATTGAAATGTTTTTATATTTTTCATGTGTAGAAGATGTATATATGGAGGTATGTGATGAGAGAAATGAGAAATGTTTAGCAATATCTGTTTACCTTGGTATATAGACAGATATAAAAAGGCAGTAAGGAAAGGAGAAAGTACGTGTGAAAATACAGAAATGATATTGATGTGAGAGTGAAAGAGAAAATAAAAAGGATGTGAAAGAGAGAAGTAAATGTATGCACACACACACACACATTGTATATATGCTAAAGACAAAAAAACAGAGACAGTATGGGAATGTAATGAAGAAAAACCTATAAGAAAGAAAACTATGGAATGGGAGAATGTCTGAAAGGGTGTGTGTGTGTGTATAAACCCTATTTTTAAATTTAAGATGAAAGTGTATAGAAAGTGTTTTAATTGCTAAATTCTACACAGTAAATTTGCATCCAGGTTCTTACAACATTTCACCTTTTTTAGCAGATCTTCCATTATCACAATGTGTGCTACTTAATAACAACATTAATATGAAAGTGTATAGAAAGTGCTTTAATTGCTAAATCATCCATAGTAATAAAAATATAAACAAAAAGAAACTAAATTAAATTGACTAGATAATATACCCAAACCCATATTAAAAAATTTTTTAAATTTAAATGAAAAGTTTAAGTTAAACATATCTTTATGCCTCAACATAAACATAGCTTTAGTTCAATTAAATCCTCAAGGCGAAAAAAAGATCACATAAAAATATTTTTCTACTTTGTCATTAATTTTCCATACATCGTTATGCTAATAAACCTTTAAATAAACAAATGTTTATAACTAAAGTAATGAAGTATTGTCTTTCCTTATGTTTGTCTATAAGCTTATATAAATGCATAGTATATGCATGCGTGTGTGCATCATAATGCATTTAGCTTTATATACTTGCATATGCAGGGTTAGGATGAGGGAGTTGCGTTTTTTTTATGGGCATTCATGTCAAAGGATGAGAAAAGAAAGAAGAAATAAAAAAAGAAAAGCCTAAACTAAAAATATGTGGCGTGTGATGGTGAAAGGTAGGTATGAGTCACTTGTCATGATAAGATTAACAGACCATCAACAAAGGTTCATTCTCCTCCTTATGAGGGCCACTGGAGATCCTTTATTGAAAAGTTCTAAGCGAACGTAAGAATAGTGGATGAAGGCTGGCAACTTTTTTCAGTGTCCAGCATAACCTTAATACTTGATTAGGTGAAGGGTGGTCATGTTTATTGTGACATAATTGTTCATTCATTCTTGCCCCTGGGCAGTTCCTGTGTCTAGTTTATACCTGGGAAAAAAAAAGTCATCCGTTGTTTATTACCTGCATTCAGTGGTCACCATTTTGCTGTTCGGACAGACAAGATTACAGTGGAGAATGAAAGACAAAAATAAAAGAAAGAAAAAAAAATAATTGGATGAAATTCTGTTGCCAGAAAATCTGGCAAAGCATCATGGGAGTGAATAATAATAGACATAACAATTTGGTTATTTTTCCTTTCTTTCATTTTTTTTTTCTTTTTAATAATATACTATCAGGGGATGTAGGTAAGGGCTATTTTTTGCTTCTTTGTTTTTTTTTTTTTTTAAATTATCATTTTTTGTCCATTTTGCTTTCTATTGATCTCAATATAGAGTCTAAAAAGTGAAAGGAATAAGAAGAGGAAAAGGAGGAGGAGGAAAGTAAGAAATAGTATGAAGAAAATGTGAAGAAGAAAGCAGATAAAGATTAGGAGGAGGAGTTAAAATGAAGGAGGAGAGTAGTAAGGGGAGAAGAAGAATGATGAGGGAGAAAAAATGGTTGCTGTTAGTGAGAAGAAGAACTAGTTTGACAATTGGAGGAGGAGGAGGAGAGAAAGGGTAACAATGATTAATAAAAAGAAAAAGGGACAGGATATGAAGAAGAAATATTAAAGAAAGAAGAATTAAGATGAAAAGGAAGAGGAAGAAAGTAAGTAGATGAAAATGAGTAAAAAAAAGCAGATAAAGATTAGAAGGAGGAGGAGGAGTTAAAAAGGAGAAGGTGAAGTTAAAAAGGAGAGGGAAGAGGAGTAGTAGTAAAGGGAGAAGAATGGGAAGAAGATGATGAGAAGAAGAATTATGAAGGAAAAATGGTTGCTGAAGGTGAGGAAAAGAATCAGTATGACAATTGAAGAAGTAGGAGGAGGAAGAAGAAGGAGGGGAGAAGGAGGAGGGGAGAAAGGATAATGATGATGTTGATAAAAATAAAAAAAGAGGAAGAAAATGAGAAGAAGGATAATTATAAGAAAGAAGAAGAATTATGATGAAAAAGAAGAGGAGAATAAAAAAGGCAAATGAGAAGAAGAGAGAAAGAAGAAGGAAAAATCCAACTTGATAAAAAAATGGGAAAGAAAATTTTATTTAGGTAGACTTAATGAAAGATTATGAAATATTATGGAAATAGATTGAAGAAAAAATGTTTATTTTTTTATAATTAGGTCAAAGGGGAGAAAAAATAAAAAAACAAAATAAAGGATATAATTTTGGTAGACATGAAATTGTCTTTCTTCCATTCTCTTTTGAAATATCAAAATTATTGTTGTAAAAGATGGGCAAATATTGTAAGCAAAATGGGATGCAAAATCTTTTGCACAGACACAACTGATGAGAAAGTCATGGTACAGAGTCAATGAAAATGTAGATAAAAAGTAAAACCTCTATAGACGGATATGGAATTTACTTTTTTAACTAATCAGGAAAGAAGACAATGCAGATAGTTAAAAAAAGGGAGAGAGAGTGTGTGAGAGAGAGAGAGAGAGAGAGAGAGATGAGCAAATTATGAAAAGGTTGTCAATATTAATATTAAGAAGAAAAAAGATGAAAGAAAGAATAAGGAAAAGAAAAAGTACAGAAAAGGAAAAGAGAAAAAGGAAGAGAGAAAAAGGAAAAGAGAAAAAGAAATAAGAAAAGAGAAAAAGGAAAAGAGAAAAAGAAAAAAGAAAAATTTAGAAATTGTTTTAAAGAAAATGAATAATAACTGACAGTAGTAATTATGAAAAATATTAAAAAGGAAAAGAAGATATTTGTAGAAGAAAAGGAAGAAGAAAAAAAAAGAAAATGTAGTGAATAAAGTTGAGATGAGGAAAAAGATAAAGAAGAGAGAAGATAACAAAAGAGAGAAAAGAAGAATAAAAAAGGTGGAAGAAAAAGAGAATAAGAGACAAAAATAAAGGAGAAGGAGGAGCAAAATTTGAGAGAAGAAAAGCGGGTAAGAAAAAGATGTTTTAAAGAAAGTGAGAAGACAATAAAAAAGAAAGTGAGAAAAAAAATATGAAATGTGAAGAAAATAAAGAAGAGGAAGAGAAAGAAAATAAGAATAAAAAGAAGAGGAGGAAGAAAAAAAGAATTGATTTTTCTATCATGTTAGAAATAAAGAAAATGAAAAATGAAAAAGTAAAAAAAAAAAAAATTAAAAAAAAAACCTTCTCATGGCATGAGGTGGAAATGAGGTGGGGGGTGCTTGAGATGCAAAATGAGTTTTGAAATAAGAAAATGATGGAAAGTGTCCAAGGAAGGAAGGTATACATCAAAATAAAGACAGCAATGGGAGACGTAAAGAATGGAAAATTGTATATTTGAAAATACTGTAATTCTAGAGCAAGGTAATAGAAAAAGACAGATGCCAATATAAATGTTGTTTTGCCCAACACAGAAAAACATTGGGCATCCATCAAACCCCCTCACACACACATTTTGGTTGACAAAGACAGTGAAATAATGTCGAGTATATTTATAGAAGACAGACATAGATATATTATGAGCAGAATAGAAAAGTATGCTGCAAAAAAATAAAAATAAAATTTTGTATTTATTTTTATATTTTATTTATTTTTTTTCAAGAAGGTTAAATATTCTCTGAATTTTTGCATTATTTTTCTGTAGGCTCTGTTGTTTTATCTTACCAATTATTGATTCTTAGTACCGTAATAGAAATTGATTGCATTTTATTTATTTTTTTTTTTTTGCAATGTTTGCAATGTTAAAAAAAGATGATTATATATCTGATTTCATTTGCAATAATTAATGTAAATCACTATAAATAAAACAGCAGTCACTATCATTTTGAAAGAAATATTCTTATTCTTCTATTTACCGTGTTCTTTCAGGACATTGGCGATCATGGCTCTCCACAATTTCCTGTCCTTTTTTAGCCCTTAATAAATTTGGTCTTTTTGTTAACTCTCCTAAACCTCATTCTACCATCCATTTACTCAAGCTTTCTGGGTGGCTTATGCATTGTTTTTCCTCTGTCAATCTTCGATCTGTCCTGTGAATATCAAATTTTCCAAGCTCTCTTTCCTCATGATGTGTCCTAGAAATTTCAACTGTCTCTTCCTGATGTGAAATATAAATTTCCATTTTCTATAAAACTTTGTCATTTCTCACCTGTTTGGAACATGGTATTCTCAGCATCCTTCTGTAGAACCACATTTCTGTTGCTTCATTTTCTTTCTTCTTCTGTAAGGAGATTCTCAAGCATTCACTGTCATATAGGAAAACTGATATTATGTAACAGTTCAGTACTCTTTTCTTTGTCTCTAATGAAATTTCTGTTTTTTTTTTGGCAGTATATTCGCATTTGGAGAAATAAGGAATAAATCTATACGGCTAGACTTGGTCAGGTTTTGTAGCCAAATAATAGAATTGATTCATTTCTTTTGTTTTTATTTCATGGCTTATCAACCCTTTGTGGGTTATTTAAAGCCGAAACAAATTTTGGATTGTAAGAATAATTATATTTTTGTGAGTGAATATTGCATTAACAATTTTTTCAAGAATAAGAACTGTTTTTCCAGTTAAAAGTCCTACTATTTAATCCATAGCTGGGAGAGGAGATAAATTCATACCTTTCCCAAGGCATAATCAAATCAGTAAAGATATCATCTATGTTGCCAAGGATATGAGTTAACTTTATTGTGATTGACATTGCTTACTTAATAGTTGTAGAATGCAAAATAACCTGATAGTTATAATAAAATGCAACAAAATAAAAGATAAACCAGTCGAAAAATAATGACAATGCATCAACCAATAAATTCAGATAACATTTATCAGTATTTTAAGACATTTTTTTATGTTTATACATTCTTTTTATAGATACAAATATTTAAGTAAATGCTCTGTTTATGATAAACAGTGTTAACGATATTTACCAGCCTGAATGTCCGAGAAATTTTCATAGAAAATATGCGTGCTCCGACAGGAATCGAACCTGTATCCTGACTTTGTCCATTTATCACTATCTTAATAATGGTTTTATAAATTAAACATAATTTAATGTTAATCCAGAGTACTCCAGTAATATCTCACAATATCACCAAGCATTATTGTACATTTATTTATTGAAACTATTGTTCTCATCTCGGTTGTTTTTTTTTTTTTTATATTATATATATATATATATATATATATATATATATATATATATATATTCAGAAAAAAAAAATTACATCAACATAGTCTATTTCAAGCCGTTCTGTGCGCAGTTATCATCAGTCCCTAAAGTGACACTTAGGGATTGATAAAAGCCACACACAGAACGGCTTGAAATAGACTATCTCTATGTTGAGGTAATTTTTTATTTGGGGGGGTTGGTGTAAAAAAATATATATGCTCTGTTAAAATAGAAACAATGAGTTCTCTGTGGATCAGTTTTAATAATTAATATTACTAGGATCCACCCGGATTATATACCAACGGATCGATTACCTGTACTATACATATATATATCTTTTTTAATCAGTATCACCCCAAGCAAGGCTGTACAGTCACTAAGACACAAGGGTTTACAGGGTGTGGAGGAATTAGGAACAGAAAAAACATTACTAATGAGTAGAAAGAGAAAAGAGAATTCAGGAGAACTGTTGATAGCGATTATCATTTCATTTAAATTTTTGCAGATTAAAGTTGGTTGGAAAGCATGGAGCCAGAATGGAGGTCCACAAACTCAATTGTAAATTGATGAGATCTCCCCACCAATCTATTATTACGATTAAATTCATACAATCTAGGTACCATAGCAAATACCTCACCCGAACAATTACCATGAAAGTATTTATAAAAAGGCCACAGAGAAGCAACCTTATGATGTTGAGCAAGTGACTGAAGCTGAGCCACCAGATCAGGACCTAGCTGATTCTTCTTTGGGTCTTATGAAGGCGATCAAGTTAAATAGCAGGGGCACCAGACCATATGTAGTAGCAATATTCTAAGCATGGGCGAATGGTAGATATGCAAGATAGATTCCGGATAGAAAAATTGTCTCGTCTGACACGGAACCAATAGCAGCTGACGTAGCAATGGATTCAGTATAGTCTTTTCAGTTCATGTCGGCTGAGAACGACAGCCCTAGAAGGCGCAATGAATCACTTTCCTGGAGGTTAGCACCAGCCATGCTGACGGAAAGCAGAAAGGGGTCTCTCAGATGATTAATAGAGGAAAATTTAGTTTTGGAGGCTTTAAAATTGACGAAGCATCGTTTGCTCCAGTAAACGGCGGTCTTGAGGTCATTTTGTACATCAGCTGCCATTTTGACCTTGTCTGACTGACCAGTCTTACTATCGAGGCAGGAGTAAATGGTAATGTCGTCAGTGTAGATGACAGGTTGAGAGCTGATGTCATCGGGAAGGTTGTTAGTGAAGATTAAAAGCAGCGTAGGACTAAGGATGGAATCCTGGTGTAGGTCCGTGTTAGTACGAAAGGAAATAGATGAATGGCCGTTTCATCTCACGATTTTATAGGAACAACTGGATCAGCTCAAAAATGTGCCCGGAGATACCGTAACTTTTCAGCTCGTGGAGAAAACCTGAATGCCAGACCCTGTCAAAGGCTTTCGAGATGTCCAAAGCTACAGCCTTCGCTTCAATGTTTTATCTAGAGCACGATAGACACTTTCTGCAATTATCATTAGTACATCAGCAGTTGACTTGGAGAGATGAAAGCCGTATTGTTTGTCTGAGAAAAAGCCCTTGATGAGAGATGATGACCCAATTTTACATTGATTAGGGTCACCAGGAGTTTCCCCTAAAAGAGGTAGAAGGCTAATAGGCTGATAGTTGTCGGACAGTTCACCAGAGTTCTTAAAAACTGGAACAACAGACAATGACTTCCAGCAAGCAGGAAAGCAGGAGGCATTTATTATACAGTTTAGAGAGAACAGGAGTTAGTTGGGGAGTACACTTCTTAATGGTTATTACAGAGAAAACCATAGAGTCCGTACGCTTTGTTAGAGGCTATGCTATATATCATCATCATCATCATTATCATGTGTCGACCGCAGTCGAGATCACTGAGTCCACAACACTATGCCAGACTTCCGGGCCCTTCATTGCTGTCCCCAAATTCTGCCTACCAATGCCTGCATCTCTTGAGATGACGTCAGGGAATGATAGTTTTCTGTCCCTGGTCAGGTTTGACGCAGGCTTCCAGAGTAGGAGAGAGGAGACAACCTCACTCTTGACACGGTGGCAGTAGCCAGCAAACTGTGCTCGAAGTATGAGAGTGAGAACACGGGGAAGACTGCCATAGATTTGGTGAATGGTCGGATGGCGTTTACAAGAGAGGTTTTGAGCTCTCATCAGAAGATGGGTATAGGTTCCATCCAGACGTTTCTCAATGCGAGTGTCCATGTCTTTGAGCCATAGAGAGCCATAGAGTAGAATCGGCTCAACAGCGGCTCTGGATATTTTGATCTTGAGTTTTCTGTCCAGTTGTTATGTCCAGATCTTGAGCACATTATTGCATGCAGACCATATATATATATATATATATATATATATATGTGTGTGTGTGTGTGTGTGTGTGTGTGTGTATGTATGTGAACATATATATATACATGTATATATATCTGTGTGTACCTTGTATGTTGTCTTTAACGAAACATGTATAAAAGATGGATTGCTGCCTAAATTCACAATTATATATGTGTGTGCATATATATGTGAGTCTGTTTTGTGTGTGTTTATGAGTGCATATATATATGTATGTACGTGTGTATATGTGTGCGAGTGTTTATATATATGTATATTTGTACTTGTGTGTGTAAGTGTTCATATATATGTACATGTGTGTGCATATATATGTGTGTATGTGTGCTTATATATGTGTCTGTATGTGTGTATGTGTGCATATATATATGTGTGTGTGCAAAAACTAAGACAAATGTAAGTAGGTAGCAATAAAATATTATATAGTACTCATTGGGAAAACGATATATAATTTTTGTATATATTAAGAACAATTTTAGGGGAAGAAATTATGATATCAATGAAGTCCTAAAGGACAAAACTCGTCAGAGAAAAACTTTTCCACTTTGTCATACACTTTCCTCCCTAAAATAGTACTCATTATAAGGAAATACTTAAAAGACGAAAAGTTATTTTTATACAAAAGCAACAACATAAATTAAAAACAAATTATCTCTCAACACAGAGAAAGGCATTCAAAATGTATTTAAAAATTAACATCGTCCGTAGACGCTCATAAGTTTTGGGATTTCTAATGGGCAAATTCTCTTTTTAATTACATA